ACACTCCAGCGAAGTTGATATTTGTCAGGAACTTCGGTTGCCAGTGTATCTGTTAACAGGACGCCCACCTTACAAAGAGTTGCCTGAAAATGTGTCAGAGTTCGTGAAAGTGTTATCTGAAAGGATGGATGATATTCATCATCAAGTATGTTCAAACTTAAAAATGCCTGCTGATTCCGTGAAGCTATGTTATGATAAGAGATCTACTGAAGTCAGATTTGTACCAAGAGACAAGGTATGGTTGTATAATCCCAGGAAGACCAAAGGGAAGTCTCCCAAGTTGTCTTCTCCTTTCCAAATAAAATGTGGACGGTGAGGTAAGCCAAAGGTGGTGCATGACAACAGGCTTTGGCATTATCACGGTCCAGGACATTTAAGTTGGGACAAAGTGAACAACAGAACAAAAGACGCCACTGAAGACGCGTCACCTGAAAAAGCCACTGTTGAAGAAGAAACTCAACCTGGTTTTGAGAAGGAAAACAGTGAAGCCATTAATGAAGTTACTACCACTGATGTGACTGCTACCAATAATGGGATATTTCCTGATGGAGCAGATGAATCTCACGTAAAGCAGAAGCCAATAAGACGAAGACCAGTACGAAAGAAGAAACATCCTGTAAAATTAAGAGACTTTGATGTATTTTAATTTTGTGTTTGTAAATTCTGTACATTTAATTAAGTTATTGTTAATTATCTGTTGGTTTAATGTAAGTGGCTATTGTTCGGGACAAACAATACAAAAGAAGGGGCAGTGTTACGACAGCAGAAGCCATGTGATGCTCGTAACATGAGATGAATTTCTCGAATGATCATGAATTATTGGGGAAGACCGAGTTTGTTCGAGATGCCCTCTTTTTTAGTATATAAGCCTCGCTGAGAAAGCCTGCGGGAATGAATGAAGAGAGTTCCGGATAATTTACGATTCTGTTTTGAGCTAGCGTGTGTTTTCAAGATTGTAAATCACAGTGTATTATAAAAATAGTTAAGTTTAAAGTGACGAAAAATGTACTGATTGTGAAATTACTGTGTACTAAAAGTTTGTATCGAGGAAGAATACACTGGTTTAATCAAGAAGGGACTCGTATCGCTGAAGTTCCTCAGAAAGAATTTATACCTGGAAATTAACAAACAAGCAGATACATAACAATATCTCTAAGATTATAAGAGTTTATTTCAAATGCAGCTTCTGTTCTTAGTTATCATTTATGTATACTAAGACTTTCTTTACCTGTATTTATACTACTTAGTTTTGCTATTTTATATTTTTATGTCTACTTTTAGTAGTTCACTGGTATCATAACTCATCTAATGATAAGGGCTGGCTTTAAGATATTTTCAAAATTCATACATTAATAGTTTTAGTTTAATTTAAAGGATGGAACGGCCAAGATGGATCAATACATCCCACGTTGTCCCAACACATTATGCTATGTTATAACTCACCTACTATATTTCTAATTATTTTATGCAGTGACTAGATACTAGGCAGGCTAGAATGATCTTTCATATACTCAACACCTGCCAGTCCAAAAATTTCAATATTGATGAGTTATGATAACTTCTGACTTGACTTTGCAAATGAGTAATAGTAAATTTCAAAAATGATTTGTCTTGAAGCTCGATGTAACAATCCCAATAAAACGTTTGCCCTGGAGAAATAAATATTGATCCCCCCTTCTTGTTTATTATTGATCAGTGTGTGTGTTTGCTACAAATGCCAGGAACGATCCTCATAATACTAGATACCCAGGAGCCCATAATTTCAACTTCACGATCATGAATATTGATAAGCTTCTAATAATATTATGATATATATGTGCTTTATTTTTGAAACTTGTAGCTCATCAGTATTCAAACTTTCGAACTACTGAGCATTTACTCTAATTCACTATTCGGCAAGACTATACACGTCTATCGACTATAATCTAGCTACTGCAGTTATACAAGTTTAACTGAAGATCCAAGTATACTTCACTTTACGTGTAAAGTCATAACACTAACATTACTACTACTAGTCTAGTACTAATATTTGTAAAATCAGTATCATAGTGTCATTGCATATTAATTATTAGTAGTAGTAAGTGAATATGTCAAGCTTATCGTGAAATAACGTTCTAATCCCATACTCTATATAAATCTTAATGGTTTTTGTCGTTTTACTTAAAAATTAAAAGTTAAACTTACAATAAAATAGAATACTTACCTGACACACTCCAAGTTCCAACGCCAAGCCTAACTTTATAGTCCATAGGGTTTAGAATTCATGAGAATATACCTAACTATTCTACGTGCGCCAAATAACAATAACGGTTACTGAAAAATTGACACAAAATGTTTTCAGAAATTGTAAGACACCCGGGAAAACACTAACGGGTGTATTATAAGGACGACGTTATTAAAGTAACCGATCTACTAATAAAACGCCTTACATTAACGACAAACATTTTAATTTACCTTCATTGCCAAATGGGAACTTACAGGTTACGTTTTCACAAGAGTAACACTTTCCAAACAAAAAAAGAAAACCATAAATTTATCACAAAAACAATTTTCACGTAGGAAAATCAAAAACAGAAGAAAAAACTCGTTTTAGAAAAATCCACGTTCAATTTTATCACATTTTTAAATAGACTTAGTGATCCCAAAACCGTCCATATCTAGAAGCACTTATGAACTTATGGAAACAAGAGCACTTATGAATGTGGTAACTATATTTGAAACATGCGAAATTCGCCATTTTCTATAAGGATTTTTAGAAAGCTCACAAGGATACCAAAAACGGATATATTCAGGAGCAATTAAGGATTTTCAGAAACCTCGTAACAAACTTTAACATGCTCATATGAAACAATTCTGGACAAGTCCGATTTTAATGTAGTAACAGCATTTGAAACATACGACATCCGTCATTTTCTATCACCAATTTTGAAACTTCACAGATACAAGAAACCACCAAATTTAGGAGCTCTTATGGATTTTCAGAAACCTCGTTACACAACATAACATACACATACCAAACATTTCTGGAGGCAGAATTTTTAATCTAATAAAAATGTTTCAAGCATTTGAAATCAGTCATGTTCTATCGACATTTTTGAAAACTCGCAATGACACTAAAAACATTAATTTCCACAAGCACTTATGTATTGTCAGAAAGCTAGTCACACTCTTCAACATACTTATACCAAACGATTCTGGATACGGCCGTTTTTAGTGTAGTAACTATAATATACGCATCTAAAATCCGTCATTTTCTATTGGCATTTTTGAAGCTGGCAATGATAACAAAAACCAGGACATAACCAGGAGAATTTATGAATTAACAAAATCCTTGTCACGCAACGAGGATATCTTCATACCAAACAATTCTGGAGATGGACGTTTTCAAACGTAGCAACAATATTTGAAACATATGAAATCCGTCATTAGCTTTCGAAATGTTTGATACCTCGTAAATATATCAAAAACGGCCTATACAAGAGAACGCATGAATTTTCAAAAAGCTCTTCACACCCCTTAACATAGTCTTACCAACTGTCCTGGATACCGCGGGTTTTAATGTAGGAACTATAATTGAAACACAAGAAATCCGTCATTTTTGAAAGTTTACAAAAATATCAAACCGCCCAATTTAGAAGCACTTATGAATTTTCAGACTCCTCGTCACACACCTTAACATTTTCATATTAAAAATCCTGGACGCGTCCGATTTTTATGTAATAACTATGTTTGAAATTTCTATTACGACAGCGGAAGTCACGTAACGTTGCTGACGCATGCGTGCCTGAGTTTCTCGAATTATCGAGGAACTCCGCGTGTTTTTGAGACGCCTCTTTGTTAGTATATAAGCCTGGGATTGATGAATGTATGATAAAATGTTTTAGGAGGAGTGAGTCGAGATTTCGTAGGGAGAGGACGTGTATCACGTTAGCTCTCTCAAGAAGCCGAGATACGCACAGATAAGATTTATTGTACTAAGCAAGTTCTAACTTCAGTCAGGCTTATACACTGTGTTTAGCTTAATTGTTAACCTCTAGTTATTGATAAAGTTAAGCCTAATCAGTCCTTCTCAGGGCTCCTGACAACGCCATGCGTACAAGAGCCGGCGGCCAGCCGCTTTCCACCATGTCGCAATTCCAACTATTAGCTGCCGTTGAGGAGGAAATGGAGTCTTCCGACGGGACATCCACCCACGTGTCAGACACTAGTGACACTTCACTTAGCAGCCAAGAGTCCCCCATCAAGGAGCCAGAACAGTCCAAAAAGAATGACACGTCGTCCAAAACACCACCAGTGAGTACTATCCACAGCAGCCAGATAGACAAGACCACGGAACAAACAACCAAAGTTAAGCAACCAGCACCACCACCTGCCATCTAATTCCGTTCTTGATAAGGGTATCCGCTTGTTCGACGTTTTTAAGGCTGACACGGATCAGTGGCGTTGGCTGTCCTGTTTTTGCCGACTTTATGCGGTCGACGTGAGTGATTTCTATATCCTGGCTTTCCAGTTCACCTTTGATTTCTTCTACTGATATGTCTTGAGCGACACCCCTGATAACTATGGCTTTCGTGGGTACTGGGTCTCCAGGTACATGGATATTTAGAGCGGCGCCTCCGAAGGCATTGGTAGGCCATGGCTTCAAGAGTTTTGAATAATCCCGGGGTTCTTTACATTTTATTACTAGGCCTCCGCGGGCAAGTCGGCGGACTTCAGTGAATGTGGTGGCTGGAAACAGTTTCTTGAGTTCCTGTGCTATCTGTGGCTGACGGTAGGTAAGTGGGATGCCTTCGATGATCACTTTGGTTCCTTCGCCACCCTGTTGAAGAATCTAAGCAAGCTAACGCAATCAAAGTGCTGCAATGTTTCAACTGCCAGAAGTTTGGCCACTCACGAGCCGTATGTACCGCATCCCCCAGATGTGTCAGGTGTGGGGAACTTCACCAGGTCGCATCTTGCCCCAAGAAGAGAGAGGAAACTTGCTGTGCCAACTGCGGTGGTCCGCACGCCGCATCCTACAGAGGCTGCCCCAAGTACTCCCAAGTCATCACTTTAAAAAGGAATCGGCTACTCAAGAAACACCCATCAACCTCGAGTGTCAAGCAAACACCACCAGATACAAGAGTAAACCACCCTGCAGTGTCAGTAGCCCCTGCAGCCCCCCAGCCAGCTACTACAGAGAAAAGCACGTCATATGCTGAGGTCGCCAGCAACCCAAGACCCAAGCCAACACCCCAATCGACGCAGACGCACCGAGTGTTAATACAACGGATCGTAGCCTTTGTCACTGACGTGGTTCTCCGAGCCACGACAGGTGACTTAGAAACCAGCGAGGAGCTTATCCAAGACGTTGTCCGATCTGCTCCATACTACTTCGGGTTCCTAACCAGCGAATTCGAACCGCTAAAAGAATACGTCCTCGCGAGGATAAATCAGGATGACAATCAGGTATGTTGTTAAATATACTAGCCATTAATATTCAGGGCGATTTAAATAACAAGAAATATGAACTTTTTGATTTGTGTAAAAAAGAGTCTATTCATGTAGCAATCATAAGTGAAACACTCCTTAACGAAAATAGCAAATTTAGTATGCCTGGTTACACCAGTATCTCGAAACCGAAGGGTCCCAATAGGAGAGGTATCTCCCTATTATATATAAAAAACCTTGAAGTATCTGCCCCCGACGTACACATCCAATCAACTAATGAGCATATTCTATGCGAAATTTCAATGCGCAACTACCCCAAAATCACACTGCTGGCAATGTACATCTCCCCGTCGACTCTCCCGGATA